CCGGGGACCACGCTGAGGTGCTGACAGAGTGCTCACACGTGTCGGACATGTGCTTTCTACAGGGGTGGACCAATAGAAACACCAGTAGAATCCAATGCGATGCCGCGCAGTGAACACTACTAGTGCTAAAACGATTGGTTGACGGATAGAAAATTGTATTACTTTTGATGATCAATACGTCGTTTGTCATTTTCTGCTTGCAGCTTGTTGTCAATTAAAAATGTGCTGCCGTTTCATATTATTGTAAGTTAAAGGCGAGACACTACAGGCAAAAGCAGTTTTTACATGCACTGGTCTGTTTTGGGAGTTTGAGCTATTTTGCTTCTATAACGTATCGTAAAATACATCTAAAATACACAATTTGTTCTTTATTTTACTACTTTGTCTATTTGCGTCTGTAGATTTCTCTTCACTAAATAATAATGCCTCTCTTACATACACCAGGTTCATTCCTCTCTATATTCTGAAGGTGTTTACCGAGGGGTTTGTTCATATATTATTCAGAGCCTGATTTATACAAGATTTTAGTCCTAAAAACATGACGAAATTAGAAGATTATTTTATTATGGCTGTTGACAGTATTATCTGTTCAATGGAGTGTTACAAAGACCTTTGACTCTTAATACATCAACAAAATGAAATAAGCACATATTTAACAAGAGAGTGGCTCATTTGCATATTTAATCATGCATATTCAGGAAACTTAAAATAATAATAATAATTATTTGTTGTTTTACTGAAAGTTTCTTGGTGATATCTACGAGTTAAAATATTTACCCTGTTCCCTTTAGTCTCCCTTTAACTGTCTAACTGTAAAAATAGAAAGATAAACACAGCCTTGGCATTCCTCATATCTGTTTTGTGATATCTTATTGACAAATAACCGAACAATTAATTGAGCAAATGTACTCAGCAAGGCAATTGATAATGTAAAGAATTGCTAGTTGAAGCCCAAAACACAGCTGAGGAGAATCTTAGTGGAAAATATGTTGTCAAGACTGTGTCAGAGAGGACCTTTCAGTCTGAGAGCTTAATGTTCATTGTTTTTATTCATTTATTAAAGTGTTGTAATATGCTATCTCCTTGCATTCTTTACAGAAACTGGCTCCAAACATTGTTAGCAGCTTATCAGATTGAATTAAAAGCAGAGAAAAGCATCTCATCCTGTGTTTTTCTTTCCCCTCCCATCCTGCAGGTGGCAGCATAGACAGCGACTGTGCCTTTGAAGGAGACTACGCCGTGGCCCCGCTCTCCATGACCGAGGGCATGCAGCACATTCGCATCATGGAGGGCGTGTCGCGCTCGCTGCCCTCCTCCCCACTGCTCACCCACCAGACCATCAGTGTCCGGCTACAGCCCGTGAAGAAGCTCACAGGTAAACGACACCGGCAGTTGAAGTTGGAAGTCGTTAGAGGGCGTTGGGGAAGAAAACCCACAGCTGACACGGATTGTCTTGTACTCGCATCCTTTCCTGTAGCTGTCCTCCCCCAGAGACTCATTGTGCTAATTCAGCCTTAACCCTTCACTGTGCCACTGTAGGCAGAGCACCACACGCAGGGAATACAAACAGACTTCATGAGACAAAGTGAAGAGGAGTGGATTGTCCTCTGACTCTGATGGTTGCCGATAATCAGTGATCACTTACCGTATTACTCACCCACTCGCCCTCTGGCCCGCGGCAAACACTGCAATTTCCAGTTCTTGTAATGACCAAAGTCCTGATGGGCTGTGAGGCTGCGGTCGCCTCTTCATGTCCCACTGCTGATCGTTTCCCCTCCACACTCATCCCTGACATTCAGAGAATGTAGAGGGAACTCCCCTCCTCCCCCTCTGTCTCCCCCCGTTAACTGGGTTATGAGTCTGTGTCATGTTCCCTCTGCTTTTATTATAAAAGGGGAAGAAGGGGGTTTGTGTTTCAGGCCAGCGTGGACATCTGAGGTTCACTGCTGCGCTGGTTTTTTTCAAAATGAGAAAATGAAATATTGGCTTTGCAACTTCAACCCAATATCAGTGCAGCCCCCACATAGAGGGAGAGTGGGTGTGAAGGACTTGATTTCAGCAGTCACCACTAGGGCGCACCAGCCTCTCAGCTACTTTAGATCATTAACTGTTTCTGACATGCAGGGAGGCACCGTGGCTTTTTATTCTTTTACATCACACAGAATGATTTATGGTCTCTGCCAGGTCATCTAAAGAGTTGGTTTTTAAAGAGGAAACACGAACACAGACTGATTTTCTTATATTTTTACCTGGGTAATATGTAGAGGATGCTCTGTGTGGGTGACAGGACTCAGCAGTGGCTGTTTGGAAGATTTCAGATCAGATTTCTATTTTTAGATTGTAACTTAGGAAATTAGAAATCCTCTCTTTTTTAATATCCTGTCTGTCTCAGCTGATTATTTGCTGCATTTGAGCTTGATTTGTTTTGCCTCTGTGTAATTTGTCCTCTTACACTTGTCATCTTCAGGGTTAATGTTTGCGTGCGTCACAGTGAGAGATTTGATTTTTGATTAGCTCGTCACTGCGTTGATGCTTCCAGATTCATGTCTCTCTCACGCCTCCCGTTGTGTGATACATTGTAGTCTGTAGGAATCATTAAGTCTCGAGATGAAAGTGTGTGATTTCGTACAGCTCCGCTCTTAGAAATAACGGTGCTAACGATAACCGTAAAGGGTTCTTTGGCTTTCCTTTTAGAACCTTTTATAAAGGTTCCACCTGGAACCCTTTCAGAGGGTTCTACCTAGAAACCAACACAGAGGCTTATACCCAGAACCATCTGTGAAAGGCTCCACCCAGAACCCCCTATGAGAGGTTCTACAGAGAACCCCTCTATCTAGAACATTTCCACCTTCTAAGGGTGCTAACAAGAACCCACCCTGATTTCTATGAGTGTGGCCTCACAGGGCTGACAACTGTCCATCATAAAAAGTGATTGGACCTCTTACGTACTGTGTTCTTCTTCAAATCACATGTCGGTCCGTCTTTTCACAATTTGCATGAACGGGTTTGACTCTTAACAACAACATGCACACAATTCCTCGAGCACCCAGAGGTCCTTTTTAGTCCTCAAAGACCTGTGTCTTCTCTCAAGTGGCATTCGAGAGCCCGGTCGTACCGGGTCTCAACCACGCCGGCTTTCTCACCCTTTAATTAATTCAACTCAGCGCCACTTCCTGCACAGCTTGACAGTACCAAGCTTGTGTGTGTGTGTGTGTGAGCTGTCGTCATAGGGCAGAACCTCTCCCATGCCAGAGATGGAAGAGGTGGGAGAAAGAGAGGTGGCAGATAGACGAGCGCAACAGAGAGCAACCAGCAGCAGGTCTAAAGGCTGCAGCACTTTCGATCCACTTCCCCCTCACCCTCTTCACCCCCCTCTCCCCCCCTAGGGGGCCTCCACCAACCGCAGTCCCTCTTGGCCCTCTTGTGGCAGAGTGGTGGTGTTGGTGAGGACTTCAGTTATTCAACCTCAAGGCTCTGGTAGAATGAAAACGCCATGAAAGCTCTGACCTTTTTACAGAGTCATTGAGTTTCTGATTTAATCCCCTCCGCCTGCATGAAGACTCTCAAGGGGGCCGTCGGATGCTCGAGGGGTCAACTTGTGAAACAGACTGGTGAGTAAGGCAGGAGCCATACTGTACCGTGTCATCGCAGTGGACTCATTCCGGGTTTATTTGTCGGTGGGATCGCCACCGACTGTAAAAACCAGTTGCACAGTTTTACTGTTTATCGAAAACGTTAGAAGACGAAGGCATGCTTTATTAATCCCTCTGGGGGAAATTCAGTTTAGTAAATTCAAAAAGTAAGAAGACTGTAGTAAAACACAAGGGATGCTGGCTGATACAATATTGATGCTTGCATAATAATATACTGTCTGAGATTCTTTTCACATAAATGCATTAACATGAGCTAACACTTCACAAGATATGTCAGAGCAAAGATACTATACAGTTAAAAAGATCAACTTTACTGTCAAAGAAGACAGTAGATAATAGATGACACTCAATTATTAACAACAAATGTAAAATTCAAATTGTTTTAAAATCAAAGCTACGTATGATAGTCACGTATATTTGACCTGAATTATTCTCAGTTCAACACTGTGGTGAGATTGTTTTGCCAAATTGAAGATAGTTTTGCTCTTGAAGGTTCATTCTTGACTTTGGCAACAATAGTTTGACAGAAAATATGAACTAAAGGTTCACTGACTCGCTCTTCCTGGAGCTTTCAGTCATAGCGAACATTCTTGGGGGAAAGCTTTTAACCCCCGATTTATGTCCACTTATTATCATGTAACCAAAGTATTAGATTTAATGACAACTTCTTCCTCTGAGGAAGACCTTAAGAAGTGGTTTAAAGCTCCAGAAAAAGCTTGTGAGTGGACCTTGAGTATAGATTCTTTAGGTAAAGACTTATTAGCAGTGTATTTATGGTGTTTTATTGCTACTTTTACTTCAATAAAACATCTCAGTATCCGTTATCTCCTGCTGATGCATTGCTCAGACTTTAATTCTGAGCAAAAACTTCATTCGTGAAAACTGAAGTCACGTTTAATCCAACTGAACTAACAATAATATTTATGTACTTTATTAAACCTCCCGGGGAAAGAGCCTTTTAATCCCCCTGCCTTCCAGAGAGGTCAGACGGTCAGCCAGAGTTTCTCTGTTTAAAGTTCACTTTAACCAGAAACTTTTACTCAAATACTGTGAAACTTTGAGGTACTTTACCTGAGTGTTTCAATTGTATGGTACTTTCTACTTCTACCTCTCTACATCTGAGAGTTATAGTTTCCTAAATTAAGATTTTTTTTAAACAAATCATGTGATTAGATTATAAAATATGATCCATTTACTCTAAATGGACCATAAGTTACTAAATGAACATCATGCTGTATTGAAGAAGACTTGAAACTAGAGATTGAGACCATAAACTCATGTTTACAATGTTTACTGAGGTAATAAATCAAGAGAGAAGTAGAGTCATTTTCTCAGACTTCTATACAACCAGAGGAGTCGCCCCCTGGTGGCCAGTAGAGAGAATGCAACTTTAAGACACTTCTGTTGTGTTTACAAACTGTAACGAACGATTCCTGCCTAGCATGCCTTTTAAATATTGGGATTTTACACAATTACAATTTGTCAGTGGAAATGTTACATTTTTCCGGTCCCTGATATTATGACTGTCGCCTGCTGTGCGCTCATGAAAACATATGTTGTCACCAGCAGAGTATGTTTCAGATATGCAACATTCCTCCATCGTCATGCATTCTTCACAGACCCCCGCCGCCGTGTTTACGTTGTCTATTTTCAGTCCGCCGTTATCTAAGACTACGAGCGGCGGTGAGTGCTCGTTCTCACGGTGATATCTCCGCGGCTGATTGTTATGAGTTGTAATCACTGATTGCTCATTTGTTCCTTAATAAACACCTCACTCATGTGTCAGGCTCAGCAGAGACCTCGGCCCAGCTGATTGATTGGCCTCGCTCCACTCCGAAACATTTAAAGGGTATTATTTCAACATCTTTCCCCAGATTACACTGCTTTCCCCTAATTAATGGCAGCAATCAATACAATTACTCAATCCCCATGGATTGCCACATGAATGTGGACAATTGCATTTGGCCTTAAAACCTGAGATGCTTGATTTAATTACTCCAGCTATCTTTAAGTTCTCCCACTCTTGCTGCACTTATCACGGTAAGTAACATGGGTATATCTGAAATCTATTGTGTCTGTGGTGCTTACAGTGGTAGAGCGGTATGTGAATAAGTGGCACTGCACTCCAGCGAGCTAGCTTCTAAACGGTCGTGTGATGCGTGCATAAGAATGCTCGGCGGCGGTGTGGATGGTCAGGATTAACAAGGCACACAGAGTGCAGGACTGCTGAGTCAGGTTTAAAGCTCATTGTGTGGGAGCTCTTAAAGGATCCACGTTTTATACAGTGACTCGTGATGAATGCTGCCTTTTCTGGGCCTGTCATTGTTTGGTGGTATTACGTGTCCAAGTAGAGATGACAGGATCACTTGTTGGCATGTGTTTCTGCACAGATACAATGGACTATAATAAGATTTCTATTCCACAGCTGAAACACGTGTTCAGGCAAATTAATTTGGGATCAAAGGAGGGATCTGGGAAATGTAGGATATCATTACAAGAAGTAGTGGATGAGGCAACATGTTTTTCCCAGTTCATCTTGATGGTTGTTGGTGTTAATGATGTCTAATAGGATAACATGATGAGGTGATGACATGGATGTAAACTGCAACTTTAATGGTTGACGGAGGCATAAAACGCGGTAATTCTAGTTTCTTTTATTATTCCAATACAAAATCATTCACTAGTTTCAGCCTCTGAATATGTTGGAGAAGTGTGAAGATTTGCTTCTTTATTTGGTGTTGTGTGATGTTAAACTCATCACGTCGTCCTCATGAGGAGATGGAGTTTCCCCAGTTGTCATGGAATTGGATATTTTGTCTATTTTTACTGAACACTAAAGATTTATCTCAGTAGAGGTAGGAGTACTGCAGAAGTAGTATTAATACTACAGTGTAAAAATAAAAGTCTTGTATTCAAATTTTACCAAGTAAAGATTTACTGTCAGCAAAATATATCAAAAGTAGAAGCATTCATGATAAAGAATCACCCATTTAAGGGCTTATATTATTATTATATCTATTAATGGAATTTTATTTTTGATGCATCAAATTAGCAGCATTTTAATGTTGCAGCTCATTTTAATTCATAACAATGCATGATTCATTTGTAAAATCTTTAAAAACCAGCTTGTAGGATTAAACACAACACACAAACACACAATAGTCTCTACATGTAAACAAAGACATGCATCTGTATGTTTCATAAGAACATCTGTACGAGTGGATTTCCTGGATTCTGAGCACCTTAATGTGAAATCTGGACTCCATCACAAACCTGCAGCCGTGCCTTGAGCAGCTCATGATATCTCGTCCTCTCTGTGTATTTTTCAGAGGGCTGACATTTGGGACGTCTCAATCTCCCTCTGTCCCCGCCTCCTTTAGCCAGCCCGGCGTTTTTATACGGCGCCTGGTATCCTCTGAGAATTTCTGAAATGAACACCGACATTTGGGGCCTCTCAATCTCCACGCCTCCGCCTCGTTCTTCAATTATTGTCATTATTTCTTGCCTCCACCGTCCCGGCCACCACGGACCCTCCAAATAATTTGTTCCGCTGAAAGGAAATGTGACATTTTCGGCTCCACAGTCACAGGTGAAAAATAAAGAGTGGACGGTTAAGTGAAGAAAGGAGTAATTGAAATGGCAGTGTGATGCCCGCAGGAGCCGCACTAAAGAACCAGCTGGATTAAGTGCTGTGACAGAAGTTTTTGTCGTTCCGTCGTCAGCCGGTCATATCGTAGCATATCTACCGTTTCTTCATTAAGTGCAAACATCAGTTCTTTTACCGTAATATGTCACTGTTAAGGTACTTAATTCATATCTGTTTCTGTCACTTGTTTTCCGTTTATTAAGCTCTGCTGAAGTGATTGTTAAAGGCTGGTGCAGAGTGGGAAAACAAAGAGCTGTTACATGATGTTGCATGTTGCAGGATTTTCTAAAAGTGGGTTAATATGAGATGATTTATTCTGCTCTTTTTATATCTGATATGGAGAAAGTCAAATATCGCAATATTTTGAACCAAATACCTCGATTAATGATCAGTAATGTGGATATAATGATTAAGTACTTACTTTACTGTAATGTTTCCTTTAAAACCAGGAAAGAAGTCACTTATGCCATTTTACCATATCCAAAAGCTAAGACAACATCTAGTCTCATATCACTACATCGATATTATATTGATATATTGCCCAGCTCTTGTGTCTGTACAGTAGCTTAGCTTAGCATCAAGACTGGAAATGAGAGGAAGTAGCTAGCCTGGCTTTGTCCAATGCCAAAAAATAAAATCAGCCTCTAAAGCTATAATTAAAGTATACATGTGCAGATTAAACACACAAGATATACTGTAACGTGGGTAATGGTGAGCTCCAGAGGTGAGTTTTGGTTTAGTATAGTTGGCAACAAAGTCTAAATGTGTCCCGATGCTTCTGTTTCTCACACACATGCAACCTCCTCGTGCTCATTTTAATCATAATAGTGTCTTTCGTCAGTTGAAGCCAGGCATGTGATCAACCACCCCCACTTGTCACATCTCACTGGAATATGTTGCATCTTGTTGACAATATGCGACCAGCCTACAATAGACATCGCTTGTAAGTCATTTTTTAAAATAAACAATCATCCAGAGGACGACCTGTTACTGTAGCCCGTCTGTAAGGCTTTTTTGGGTAACGTGCTGCAAACGCTGGTTGGACGTGTCACCCCGGGGGAAATAAGTGTGACTGGAGGAGATTAATAACAGCGGGCTCACAGCCTGACGGATATGAACCCCTTAACAAAAGCAAAGCCGGTACACAATAAACTCTCGGCCCTTGTGGGGGTTTGAACCCCCTTTTTAAATCGCCGTAAAACATGGCCGCAGCTGTACAAATACAGTCTGAAGGGTAAAACAAGGACACGCAGGGATGAGCCCAAGAGGAAGACGGAGAACTGAAACCCGTGTTCCTCTCAAATAGTACCGCTCCTCTTTTGTGTCCCCAAAGCTGCGTCCACGCACAGCGAAAACTGTCCCTTTAATAGCACCCTCCCTCCATCCTTTTTAGTTTTTTTTTTTTTTTTTTTTTTTTTTATCCCATTTCCTTGCCTCCCTCTATACCCACCCTTCTCCTCCCCCTCCTTTTTTTTTGCTCTGCGGTTGCCTTGACAACAGCAGCACTGCACCATTCATCTGTTGGAGACCTGAGCTCCTGTTCCTATAGTGAGCTCCTCTCACGTCTATACATAACACGCTAAGCGCTAATGCGGGCTCCTCGCGCGCGGGGGGGAAAGCTCCCTATGCTGTTTTTGTTATTGTGAATTTTCTTCTTTTTTTTAATTTCTTTTGTTGCGGCGAAAGGTTCTGGTCACCTGTCAGCCTCTCGGTACTACTTCCATCATAAAAGGTGTCACCTCCGTGTCCCCCGGTGACACAGTGACTGCTGCGTTTTCTTCCTTCCTCCTTCCCTTTTCCTCCCTCCCCTTCCTCTCTCCTCCTCCTCCTCTCGCTCCTCCCGTCACTGCCACATCTCGCCCGGCTCTGTATCATTTACTGCGACTGCACTGAGCCGGCAGCATCAGCACTGAAACCTGTGGAGATCTCCTCCGAAAAAAGGAAACAAGAGGGAAGAAAGAGAGGAGGGTGAGAGAGAGAGAGAGAGAGAGAGAGAGCTTCCGTTTCTTCCGCATTTATCCTCTCCTGCTCGGCTGCAGGTGTTTGGGTTTTTTCTTCTTTCTTCCCCCCCCCCTACCCCCCCGTTTTCCCTTTTTCTTTTCTTTTGTTGCTTATTTTTGATGAGCTGGTCGTCGCTCAGGGAGCAAGGACTGCTCGTGTCGCTGGAGGGAGAGGGAGGGGAGCTGGTGCCGTACTCCAGCCTTCAGGAATGCGAGATCTGGTTTGAGAATGGTGAGCGGCTGCCACACCCTCTTGTTTGCTTGTTTCATTCCTCCATCTGAGTCCGCCACCTCTCCCTCCCTACCCCCCCCCCCCCCCCATTTCACCTGCTGCTCCACCTTTGCCTCGGCCCAGGTCTGTCTGCGCCCACAGCTGGGAGCCGGCTGGTGTGTGTCGGTCGCCGGTTCGAGTGACGCCTGTGCAGACATCGGGGCTGATGGGAGGAGCGCAGGAAAGTAATTTCTCTCCGTGATGCATTTATCAAAGGGGGCTGCACTCTAATGACAACGTAGGCTCGAGGACCTGTGAATCAACCAGAGTGCGATAAGTGTTTTTTTTTCGTGGCAAGCTGCTCGGTTTCATGCGTCAGCGTGGGTGAGCATTCAATTGTCTTTGTGTGTGTGTGTGTGTGTGTGTGTGTGTGTGTGTGTCTGTTGGACTGTGCATGTCTAAGCACAAGCTGTGGGCGGCTAATGGTGCTTGTTCTTGTTGTTGTGTGTTTCACTTTTGCTTCCAGAGCACAGCGTCATATGTGGCGAAACGGTTGCGTACATGGGTCGAAGTTGGTGGGGGAGTAGTTTCCCCTCCCCTCGCCATGCAGTCGGCAGCTTGTTGTTGTGTCTCCGCATCATGTGCCGGGGAAGTGGGTTCCTCCTTCCAGTTCCAGTTGCGGCGGGCCTCCCGCCTCCCTGCCTCGTCCCAGGGGACGACTAGCTGGTGTGTGAACGGAACAAAATGTCTCAATAATAATGTCTGCCAGAAAAACACAAGCACCTCATCAGCAGCTGCTATTGCTGGTCTCAGGTGAACGGTTTTTGATGAGGCGCCCGCAGCCAGTTTTCACACCACTTAGTATCGGCACCTGGAGAGTGCTTTGATGAGCTCACCTTGTCAGCTGTCATTCAGGATGCGTCGGGCAGGCAATGACACTAAGAAACTTCAATTTCAGGGCGGATGAATTGGCCATGTTAAGAGTGTCCAAGGTGGGGAGAACGTTTCCTGGCTTTTAAGATCCCTCGTGGGGTTATTTGACTCTGATGGAGCAGCGTGAACGAGGTCTCATCCACGGTGATAAACGACATCCCTTCATGGTTATGACACAAGTATTTCTCTCCATCTTTAGACGTTTTAGCTGAGGGATCATTGTCTGACAAGAAGTTGTTATTCAAAGAAACTGAAAAGAGAGCAATTCACCCGGCACAGAAACATAGAGGTACTTCAAGGCCTGTTATAGAGCTTGCAATGGACTCAGTACATTCTGAGAATACCAAGTGTAAATGTTTACCACAGTATAGCTCCATTGATGTGGATGTTATTCTCATCTCTGTTTCCTCTGGAGCCCTTTATGTGTCTTGTAGGTGTATGTCAGTATATGTTCTCGCACGTATTCACAGGAAAAGTCGGTTAAACCCGGCTTTTGTGTTGCCCGGGCTTCTCAGCTGATGTGCCCCACTTTCCTGAAAATCAGCCAAATTAAGCCTCCCACCCTCTGCAGTGGATCAGAGTGATATTGATTTATATAATTGCTCAAATTCCCTCCCTTGCCACCTCTTGAGCGTGTGTCAGACAAATGGCTTGTGAGCCTGAGACAAGTTATGAAATAAATATGACAGACTTCCGAAAAAGCCAGCCTACTTTGGTCAGTTTTTAGGCACACAGTGTATGAAATGCAGCTCTAGCTGGACTCATATTCAATGCGCTGAAAATGACTGTGATGTTAATTTGCTAACCAGTGGATTATAGGCTATATTCACAGTTTAGTGACATTGTGGTGTCTGGATTTCTGATGCAGCTGCCGGCCTTTTTCACCACTCGATCCTGATTACAAGCAGCCTGCTGAGTGGCTCTATTGGCGGTTGGGGGTGGGGGAGGAGCTATTAATCAAGCATTGGACACCACTGTCCTTTAAAATCCCTCACTTTGTTTCTTGGTGCAAAAGGTTAGAAGATGAATTGAATTAGCAGGAAACTAGTTGGAGGGTGTCGTGTTCTGCCAGAGCGCTGCAGGAATGAGTCCTAAAACACGGAAGTGAGGTAGCATTTATGCACTTCTGGTTCCCTCGTCTCAATGTTCATGGACGTTTTTCGTTGCCCGAAATGAAGTCTGTGTTTAACACAAGCTTATAAGAGGTTTTATCATTTTGTTCTACGATATAAAATACGGCAGTAAAGACCTCTCTCTTGACTTTTGAAGCTTTTACGTGTCTTAAATGAAACCACCAGTCAGCCCGCTGACTAGTCCATCTTTAGCTGAGTGAAGGTGACGTTAAGTCAGTCGTTTATAGCTTATTTTCTGCAATAATCCCAAATCCAGTGAAAACATCCCATTGGGCCTTTTTGGTCGGGGGAACCAGTGCGATGCTAACTTCCGGGTCGGCCTACAAAAGTACGTCATCCCTGCAGCGCTCTGTTGTCTCCGGGCAATCAGGTGACCCAGCATCTCTCGCCCTCATCTTTTCTTTCACCACAAATGTCTCCTAGTTCTATTTCCTTTACAGAAGTTGGATGAGTCATCAGTTTTGCCAACTCTGTAACAACTCCCTGTGATCTAGAATGACAATCTTTTATTACGGTGAGAAGGGACACAGTTAGTGCCGCCATTAGCAAAATGAAGTCATCCTCTTGTGTTCGTTATCCCCCTCCGACCATGCTCTTTAAAGTCAGCTTCCAGAGTCTACGCCAGGTAACAACCTGCAATTAGAAATCTTCCCCCAAAGCTGTTTAAACAGCCACCATAACCCTCCGCTCAAGAAATGCAACCCAGACAGTGCCGACCTCAGCAATTACAGGCCCATCTGTAATCTCCCTTTCTTTGGTAAACTTCTGAAGAAAACTGTTGCAACTTAAAAAAAGTAATTACTGTAACGATAATAATGATATTGTGTCGTGAACTGAATATTTTACTCTTATTTGACATAAATAGACTGTAAATCTGTGAATTTGCTTATAAATCCGCCCATAAGATTCAAAGCTTTCCAAAATATGTTTAGTTCAACTCAGATCTTCAGTCTTGGTCCGCTTGTTAAAACCTGCCTCAGTCAGTTTTCTGTAAAATATATGAGACCCACTTTGTGAAGCAATGTTAATCAGCTCCCAGTTTAAAAAAAGATAATCCTAAAACTGGCATTTAGTTTAGTTTTGGTTAATCTCTTGGATTTCTTTCTACAATGAGTATTTGGTTTCATATGTTCATTCGTAACTGTGAGACTGTTTTACAGGAAAGTGACTCCAAAACTATTGTTATTCAAAGTTAAAATCAGTTTATTTTCTGTAGATATTTAGATCAACACTGGGTGGACCTTTGATAAGCCTTGTAGGCTTTTGGCCTCTCATGCATACTCTATTATTTATGCTGTTTTTTTGACGTTCTTCCTCGTGTGCTGTTGAATAAATCAAATCAATACAGGAACTGAGAATCATTGTTGGTGTCTCAGTGTTTGACACCTTTAATAATCACAATTTGAATGACAGTCTTGAGAAATGGGTGAATGTCTGAGGAAGTGTACTGGTCTAGTTTCCTTATTGAAGATGGCGTTCCTCACAGAACCTTTCTTAGTCCTTTTCTGTTTTCTTTATACACGATCCCACCTGGTAACATGATCACAATGTTATTTACCACTTTCAAATGGTCCCAATGCTCTGAGCACATCAATGCATGGAGGTGAGGCAACTTTAAAACCAGACAAAATACATATTTTGTCTTGTTGGACCCAGTAGAGCGAGATGAGTCCGTTTGGCCAAACAGATTAAAACGCATTCACAAATCAGACTGATTTCAATCTTAATTCCCTTTCTTAAATCCCAAGATCATCTCAGAAGCAAAGCTAAATACCTTTTGCTGTGCCTAGAATTTTAACAAATGCTTAAAGAAGAGATCATATTACCTCGCTGCTGGCGCTACGCAGGCTAAACACATTTTAAAGCTCTTTTACTTGTTTTGTAAAGCTTTAAATTACCTGCAACCTCCTTTATATATAATATCAACAGACACTGAAGTCCTTCATTGTCTTCTTTCGTAGACATTCACATTTTTTCAGACTGCCTTTTGTGAAATACCTTACCTCTTGATCTTAGAATAGCAAACTTTTTTTCTTGAATACCAAGACCCATTATTCTTATTATTATTCTGGCTTTTAATTCTCCAGGCCTTTCATGTTTCTCCCCTTTGGTTTTGCTCTTTAATTCCCAGTGTTTAATGCATTTCTGTTCACATATTTAGCTGTTTTATTTACACAAAACATTGCATTGTTACTGATAGTTTCATTTAGCGTGAGAGCTGCTTTACCAATGACTTAACTATTTCTAGCTTACAGTGTTCTGGTTGCTTACATTTGGTTTTATCTGTATATTTAGCCGTACCTTCTGGGGGAAGAAAAGCTGTGGAGTGGAACAGAGAAACCCGCAGTGTGCTATAAATAGCGATAATAATGATTTGCTTACAAAACAGAGCAGTGGGTTACATATACCACCTCACTGCTTTCTGCGAATGCTGCTGGTGGAGAGCTGAGCAAACATTTCTGAGATGCACACAGAGGCCTAAAGAAGTGTGTTGTTGTGGGTGTATGTGTGTCCATGCGTATCCAAACCCTGACAGACCGCTGCACAGGACCGCGCAATGACACCAGCCTCCGTATTAACATTCACCTCTTGTCTGTCTGCTGTTAACTTACTTGCTCAGTCATTTCAGGGAGCTGAGCCGCTACGTTGTGTGGCCGCAATCGGTCTTCTGACTTTGTCTGCGGGATTACATAGGGAGCAACAATTGATTACGGCTTGTGTCGGACATGAAATCATCCAGCTTGTCCTGATTTTGTCAGTGGCGAGGGGATGTGGTCCTGAGTGCAGCCGACGGGTTATAAATATCCCCGGTAAAGGCTGAACTCCAGCTGGGCCAGAGGCCAAGGCAGCCGTGCTATTATTAGGCCTCTGTATCAAGCGGTGTCCTTGACAATTATGTTCATCTCGCTTTCTTAAAGCGGTATCGTCTTTAACTTTACAGCTTTGCTGATATCA